TAAGATGCATGTGCAACCTTATGCCTGCCTCTACATATGGTGGCAAGGCTCTCCTTTGTAAATATTTATCCTAACCCTGAATAAAAGGAACCTATCCACCTTCGTCTGGGAATCACAACTTTGGAAGTTATTCCCTGTGATCTCTTTATTTGCTGCAAGTAAAGTTTCCTTTATACAACAACTCACCTGCTTTAGTTTCTGTGACTCACCAACGAGTGAATTCACTTTGGTTCAGTTACAGCATAAGAAAGTAAAGCCCTCCATTGTCACTGTTGGTAAGAATGGTATAATACAGACACTGTCTGATTTCCCACATGAACTTGAGATAGTTCCTATCACAGACTTGCTAATATGTGATATTGGGCAAGTGCTACTGACGAGGTTTTGGGGTGATGGTGGGGGTTCGGAGCTGATGGCCAAGAAAGAATTCTTGAAGATGTCTTTGGTGCAAAAAGGTGATTTTATTAAAGCATGGACACAGCAGCTGTGGGTAGAAAGAGCTGCACTGGGGCTGTGAAGAGTGACTGGTTAGATTCTGTGGAGTTGGGGGAGGTAAAGTCAAGAGGAAGTTTCTTAAAGGGATTTCCATATGCTAATGAAGACTCACAGATTACTAGAGGTGTAGCTATTATCAAGTTAAGATTGTTTTCCCCTTGTAGCAAAGCATTAACATTAAGAGAGTAGGAAGTTCCTGGACATTAGGTTATTGATAAGGTTGTCCTTTTCTTGTAATTGTACTAAGATATTGTAAACTGATGGAGACTCTATCAATTTAACCATTTGTTTTCTGTCCTCTACTTTGTTCTTACGCAGTCAGAAGTACCTGAGGAATAGCACACACATCCCACCTGAGGGTGGGAGTTGTGCTAGCTTGTACTTTGCCATCAGTTTGCCTTATGGTCCCTCATCACTATTGGAATGGGACTTTTTCAGTACTAAAAAGACACAAAGTTGGGACAACAAAAGCCCCTTATGTACCAAGACTCCTTAAGACAAACCCCCTTGAGAGTTAGCACAGCAGGACAAAGAGAATGCTGCCTGTGACTTTGTGTCTCAGAATCTCAGTCTATTCAACTGGTCATTAGATGCATACCATTATGTGCACCTACTGGATGTCAGAGGCCAGACAGAATATTCTCACAGATTACAAAGCCAAGATTTCAAGGCATAGAACAAGATGAAAGAGACAAAAGAGAACAATGATCATCTCTGGGAAGAAAGGGATCAACATAGAACAAATTTTTACCAAGGTCACTATACACAGGGAACTAGTTCACACAAATATTTTCTCCTGCTAATCTAAATTTAGAAAAGGAGTAAAAGGACTCTCACTTCCACTGGACTCTGCAGGCAGAAATCCATAGTAAGAATTTTTACTTTCTGTTGGCTTTTTTTCAGAGGTCTCAGGATCTCTGAACTGCAGAAGCCCCAGAACAAGGTCTCATCTGGGTTGCCAAAACTGTAAGGGAGGAAAAGTTTTCCTTGTCCCCTTCTAGGTTCTTTGGCTGGTCTAATGATTAAACTGATATTAGACAGATAAACAGAAGAGAAACAAACAAAGCTTTATGTTTTTAAAGCTTATTTGTTTTGAGAGAGAGAAGGGGGGTGGCGCACACACAGGTCTGGAGGAGCAGAGAGAGAAAAGAGGGAATCCCAAGCAGGCTCCATGCTGATAGCAAGGAGCCCAATGTAGGCCACGAAGCGTGAGATCATGACCAGAACCAAAGTCAAGAGTTGGACACTCAACCTACTGAGCCACCCAGACACTCCATACAAACAAAACTTTAATAACGTACATACTTCTTACATGTAAGGGAAAGACCCAGGAGAACTGAGAAACTCTCCAAAATAGCCAAAACCATCACCTTAAATGTTAACTTTACCTAAAGACAAAAGACAATGTTGAAGATAGGGAATCAGTTATGGGAGGCTAGCAGGAAAAGCACAGTATATAAGGATAATGTCATTATACAGATTTAAGTTCTTGCCTTCTTCCTTATAAGAGTTTCTAGATATTGAGTCAACCTTCTTTTCCAGTTACAGTGAGGGAGACACCCTTCCAAAGGTCTCTTACAAAAGAGTTACCTCAAAAAAAAGAAATAAATGGAAAAAAAAAAAAAAGAGCAACTTCTACTCAGTTGTCTCAGCTTCACCATTGTCTCCTGTTTCTTTTTTTTTTTTAATTTTTTTTTTCAACGTTTATTTATTTTTGGGACAGAGAGAGACAGAGCATGAACGGGGGAGGGGCAGAGAGAGAGGGAGACACAGAATCGGAAACAGGCTCCAGGCTCCCAGCCATCAGCCCAGAGCCTGACACGGGGCTCGAACTCACGGACCGCGAGATCGTGACCTGGCTGAAGTCGGACGCTTAACCGACTGCACCACCCAGGTGCCCCTTGTCTCCTGTTTCTTAAAAATAACCAGTTTAGGGGCACCTGGGTGTCTGACTCTTGATTTTGGCTCAGGTCATGATCTTACAGTCTTGAGATCCAGCCTGGAGCCAGGCTCCATCCTGGGTGTGGAGTCTGCCTAAGACCCTCTCTCTCCTTTTCCCTCTGCTCCTTACCCACTCGTGCTCTCTCTCTCTCGCTCTCTCTCAATAAGTAAGTAAATAAACAAATAAATAAATAACCAGTTTAAAATAAGCAACACGTCAAAGAGACATATTTTGATGTGGCAAAATCTGCTCTCCTTTACTGTGAGGAAAAAACAAGATGCTGTTGATTGTTAAACAGGTCTTATTTAAGTTCAATCCAAACCATTAGCATTAATGCAAAAAGAGTTTTGGAATCTTTGATATTAAGAGGAACGTCCTGGGACTCCTGGGTGGTTCAGTCAGTTGAGCTTCCAACCCTTGGTTTCAGTATAGGTCATGATCTCACAGTCTATGGGTTTGAGTGCTACATCAGGCTCCATGCCACCAGTGCGGAGCCTGCTTGGGATTCTCTCCCTTTCTTTCTCTCTCTGCCCCTCACCCCCTCCCCCCTCAAAATAAATAAATAAACTTAAAAAAAAAAAAAAAAGGAACTTTCTGCTTTTTCAAAATGTGCACATATTTTTACCAGACTGGAAAAGGGTGAACAGACATCATATATGTATTGGGAAAAAAATGAAATCATTTCAGATTCCATTGTACTCTCAGCTATACAATTTATTGTGGCATGATTTAGCACTCCTAATTTATGGTAATAGCCATAAATTCAGTCTATGTGTTCATCATGAATGTCTCTTCCTTAAGCCTTTATATTTTAAAATGAATTTTAATATTTTAGCTTTAATTTTGATGAAATTTCAACTCAATACTATGATGGTCTGTTAATTACAAATTCTTTTAGAAGGCAGCTGCTTACTTCTCTACAATTTATAGCCTTTTAAACCTACTCAGATCAGCTTTGAAATTTATAATTATGCAGCTTAAAAGTCATTTGTAATGATCATACTTCTAAGATAATCTTGTATTTTAGATATGAATAGAGTAAAAATCAAACTACATCACTAAGATTATTTGGGTTCAATTTCAAAAAGCTACATTGCTCGTTCACTTTTTTACTTTCATATAGTCATCATACAGATCACACAAAGAATTTTTTTTTCCTAGAGGCCAGTCTTTAAATTCAACAGCTAGTAGTATTAAAAAATGATTGGGAGTTGGAGGGGGGGCCGAATATATGTAGAGAATATTGGACTGAACAGAAGCTCAGGCAGAGAGAAAAATACCTCCTGTGTATAACAAATAAACAGTGCATGATCTCATTTGTACCTCAAGACAAGCTACTAAGATCTCTATTGAATTAACAATGAAGCACTTTAACTGTAATGCTATGGAATTCACTGTGGCTATTTTAATATTTGTGGCAATTTTATTTGGAGTAAATATATATACATATATAAAGAATTAGAGGTCTTTTCTATACATATTGTGTTAGTATGGGTGGAACAGCTGCCATTTAAGATAGGGAGCTTTAAGCAAGGTATAGTGATATTTGAAAAAGGAATTATTTTTTCTTCTCCTGGCATCAAATAGAGTCAAAAGCCTTTATCTATGATAAGCAGATTTTTAAATAAAGAGTTATGAAAATGAAGGCATATGTAGGAAGCATTTTCTTTTAGATCCCTTTTCACTGTTTCAAATTGGCTTTTATTTCCCAGTCATTTCTATGATATTTACATTCAGGTAGCTGAATCAGCAAAGGGGTTATTAGAACAGACTAGTAATGGAAATGATTTGCTCAGGGATCCCTGGCAGTAAAAGCTTCAGTATAGTGGTGCAATGCTAAATGATTTGCATGCTGG